GCGGGGCGCGCCCAAAGGCGGCCGGGGCCAGGATGGCGGCGATGCCAGGGGATGGCGCGACCGAGCTCCGCTCCCACTAAAAGCCACCTACCATCCTGCAGCCGAGCCGAGTAGAAAGGGGCAAGTAGGCCGCGCAAGCTCTATTTATAGACGCTCTCACGTCTGCTTACGTGCGGGCGTACGATCTACGTTCCGCATGCGCGTACACGTCATCATCTCCCTCCCCCGCCAGAGTCTTCTTCCTCCACCCTTCCCCAGACAGGAGAGCGGTGCGCGAGGGGCTATGGCTCCTGCTTAGGGACACATTGTTTGAGAATGCGAAACGCGACTCAGAGGCGGGTGGGGGAGGGGAGAGCAGTCGGGCGGTATCGGAAGCCAAACTGGGGCTGGGCGGGAACCTCTTAAAGACACAGCAGCCCCCGCCCAGCTCTGCGTACGGGGGGAGGCCAACCGCCAGGCCTGACGGGGCTCCCCTGACGGGACCCGTAGCTCGCCGTGGCAGGCCGGGGAGGGGCAGTTTAGAGGCACGTTGGTCCGGCCGCCGGCTCAGGCAGCTCCAGGCCGGGGAAGGGGGTTGCTGGGCAGCAGATGGCAGCCCTGAGTAGCCTGGGTCTGTGCCCCGCCCCTTCACGGGGGCAGGGCAGGGGTGGGGAGCTGCAGTGGGCAAGGGGAGCAAGCGCAGGTCTGGGCAGAGGCTGGGGTGCAGGAGAGGATGAGGGGCGCAGGCTGAGGGGAGCTGGGCCGGCTCAGGCAGCTCCAGGCCGGGGAAGGGGGTTGCTGGGCAGCAGATGGCAGCCCTGAGTAGCCTGGGTCTGTGCCCCGCCCCTTCACGGGGGCAGGGCAGGGGTGGGGAGCTGCAGTGGGCAAGGGGAGCAAGCGCAGGTCTGGGCAGAGGCTGGGGTGCAGGAGAGGATGAGGGGCGCAGGCTGAGGGGAGCTGGGTGGGGGGAGTTGGCTGGGAGAGATCAGGCGGGGGAACTGGCCAGCGGGAAGCAGGGCTGGTGGGGGCTGGGGGGCAGGTGCAGCGGGGCTGGCCACGGGACATCAGGAGGAGGAGGGGAGAACTGGCGGCCAGAAGCATGGCTGTTGGGGCACTGGGGCTGGCTGGGGAAGATCGGGAAGAGAAGTGGGGGAAAACTGGCCATCTGGGATGGGGTCAGGGGGAGCGCGAATCAGTCAGTGGGGAGCAGGACTGACCCAGGCACATGCAGATGCCAGGGCACTGCCTGTCCCGCACACAGTCCCGGCGAAGCACGAGCGTGTCCAGCTCCACAACACACTTGAAAAACGCTCAGGAGCACGGATAGGGCTTCTTCTCCCCAAGGCGTCACTCCTATGTCACACACAACCAGAGGCTCCCAGTGCCAATCATGCCCTGCCTCCAAGCCACTCCCCTGCTCCCGCCAGGCTTCTGTCAGGCGCCCAGCCAGAAAACCAGAAAATACCAGACATTGCACGTCTGGTATTTTCTGAATTTTTCTACTAAACAGAGGGCCCAAAAACTGAACTGTCTGGTTGAATACCAGACACCTGGCAACCCTACTTCCAGTCAGCGGTGCAGCAGGACTAAGACAAGCTTCCTGCCTGCCCTGGCCCCACCTAGCTCTTGGAAATGGCCAGCGCACCCCTGCAGCCCCTGGACAGGGCTCTATGCGCAGCCCTTACTTCCAGGCACTGCCACTGCCATTGGCCACAGTTTCTAGCTTATGGGAGTGGAGAGCTGGCAATCAGAGGCTATGTCTACACTGGCAGGTTCTTGCACAGGGATTCTTGTGCAAGAAGTCTTGCACAAGAACACGTCCACACTGCCATGTGCGAGATGTGCAAGAACCTGCAGAGCATCCACGCTGCTCGCCCGCTCTTGCGCAAGAAGATTTACAGTACGACGTTGTAAGTGAGGGCTTCTTGTGCAAGAGCTACTCTCTTTTCTTACAAGTGTAAGCTCTCTTGTGCAACAGGTCTTGCGCAAGAGGGCAGTGTGGCTGCACGGCAGGGGTTTCTTGTGCAGGAAAGCCCTATCGTTAAAATGGCCATCAGAGCTTTCTTGCACAAGAGAGCGTCCACACTGCCATGTGCGAGATGTGCAAGAACCTGCCAGTGTAGACATAGCCAGAGTGTGGGCAGTGTGGTTCTCTGCACTTCCCAGGGGCCGCAGGGTCATGCCAGCTGGAGAGGAGCAAAGCCTGCCTCAGCCCCTCTGTGCCATTAGACTTTGTCTAAAGTCTCCAGGATTGGCTTCAATAGCCTCTGAGAAATCAAGCCAGATTCTAGGACCCTACCATGCTGGAGTTAGAGGAAGTGAAGAGGGGGAGAAGGATGAGTGGGGTGCAGGGCTTCAAGGAAAGAGCTGAGACATAATCAGGCTTTGGGGGAAGAAGCAGAACAGGGTGTATGGCCTCAGGGAAGGGGCAGTCCAGTTATTAGGGAGTTGGTCACCACAGCCTGAAATCAGACCTAAAGGAGGGCAGAGAGCTGACATAACTCTCAAAAAGGGCCTTGTTACAACCAGAGCAGGACAGAAAGCAGGTGCTCCCAGCAAACAGTCTGTAAACCCCATGCACCACATTAATATTCTGTGAGCAGCCCTTTAATATGGGGACAGTGACAAGAGGATGTTCAATCATGACAGGAAGCGTAAGGAGGACTTGAGTGTTAGGCAGACATTGCGTCATGACTTGGAGACGTTGAACTAGGAAAGAAAAGCACTACATAGTGGCAGGAGTTAGTGTGCCACATGACACTTCCTAAAATGAGCTTAAACTACCAGTAAGGAATGTGTTTGCGTGTGTGTTTTAGCACATCTTAGAAATGTGTGTTTCTGCAGTATGAATCACATTCTTGCCAGCTTCTGTGAGTAGGGTTTGCCTCTCACTTACAAGTTAACTTTGCTTAATCACTGGCCTCTGTACAAGGGCTTATGTTTCAAGCCTTCTTCTTAATACACTCTCCCATTTTGTCTTTATGGGGAGGATATTTACCCAATGTTTTGAAAAAGATATAATGCATGAACTAAAGATGACCCAATGGACTAACACTTGTTACCTTCATTTGCCATTTATACAGTTTTGTTTGTTTTTTTTATTTGCCCATTTCCTTGTTCAACTGATGGCCAGATTTTATTTCCCAATTGCGTCTAGTTCCTTATGGTGGACCTAGGAATGTTAGTTCTGTGATTTGATTGATGAATATAGTTTTATGACCAAGCCTTGGGGCACTCCCAGATAACACATCTGAGTAATATGGATATGGTATAAATATTTGCAGTGGTATGAGAGTATAGTATGGATGTGTACATGACAACACCACCTTATAGGTAAGTACAATGTTGTTTTTAATTTGGTGTTGTGTGGCCCTTTTATTGTGGTGTTGCAGATAGCAACACACTGCTATTAGGGTAATTGCAGTTATTACTTGTATAAGTGGTAGGCTGAGTTTTTAAATACACTATAACAATGCCTATCCCAGTGTTTCACAGTGATTATTTTATTTATATATATATATATATAAAAATGAGAGAGAAGGAAAACAGAAATTTGTAGGAGTGACATTACAAATGAGGCTTTTAAATATAAATATCTTGTAATTAGTTACTACTAGGATTGCCAGGTGCCTGGTTTTCAACTAGAATGTCGAATCAAAGAGGATCTGTGGCAGCATTGGTGACTGAACTATTAAAAGTCCAATTGTTGAGCCTGGCACACTCCCTCCCTGGCTCCGTGCAGATCCTGGAAGCGACAGCATGTCCCCCTGGCTTCAAGGCAGATAGACTGTCAGGATAGCTCCACATATGCTAGCCCTGCCCCATACACCAGCTCTACAGTTCCCACTGGCCAGGAACTGCAACAAGTGGTGATAGCACATACACAGTTGCCCAGCTGCCCCTAAGAGCTAAGAGCAGAGGGTTATGTCACCACTTCTGGTGAGCCCTCCAAGATAAGCACTGCCTGGATCCCACTCCCTTGCACCCAAACTCCTTCCTAGAGGCCCCAAGCCCCCTCCTGGGGCCTGCACCCAACTCCAGCCCCCTGCTGAATCCAAACTCCTTCCTGGAGACTACACCCCACATTTTCCTATACTTCTGAGCCTCCTCCTGCATCTCATCCTCCTCCTGTACCTTAACCCCCTTGTTTGTGGCCCCATCCTAGAACCTGCACCCTCAGCCCCTTGCCTCAGCCAGGAAACTCCCCACCCTCTGTATCTCTCACCCCCCTCCCCAACCTGGAACACCTCCTCTACCTCAAACTCCTTGTCCCCATCCACTCCCCCAGAGTCTGCATCCCAACCCCAGAGCTCTCTTGCACCCTGATCCACTCATTTCTGGCTGCACACTGGAGCCCTCGCACCCTGTGCCCTAGATGAGTGAAAATGAGCGAGTGAGGGTAGGGAGAGTGAATGACAGAGGGGGAGATGGAGTGAGCAGAGTGTGAGGCAAGGGTGTTCAGTTTTGTGCTATTAGAAAACTAGCAAACAGTCACGACAAGGGATGTAAAAAGCCAGTTAAAAAGAACCATATAACCATTAAAAGTCTTAGCAGTCACATGGCTGTGTCTAGACTGGCCAGTTTTTCCGCATAATCAGCTGCTTTTGCGGAAAAGCGTCTATGCCAATCTAGACGCTCTGTTCCGAAAATGCTTTTAACCGAAAACTTTTCCATTAAAAGCAATTTCCGGAAAATCATGCCAATCTAGACGCTCTGTTCCGAAAATGCTTTTAACCGAAAACTTTTCCATTAAAAGCAATTTCCGGAAAATCATGCCAATCTAGACGCTCTGTTCCGAAAATGCTTTTAACCGAAAACTTTTCCATTAAAAGCAATTTCCGGAAAATCATGCCAATCTAGACGCTCTGTTCCGAAAATGCTTTTAACCGAAAACTTTTCCATTAAAAGCAATTTCCGGAAAATCATGCCAATCTAGACGTAGCCATGCATTGCAGGCTCTGCAGTATAAAGTTTAAATAAGCTTTATTCTGCAGAGCCCGGCAGCAAAGTCACCTTCCCAGGAGCAAGGTCACCAGGCCCTGCCAGCCCCATTCCCGGGGCAGGAAATAGGAACTGCTAGCTTTGGTGTTTTATTGGTTAGTGATACACCAGCAGCTGATGTTGACTTTGGTTTTTTACGGATATTGACTTCCAGATAGCAATATTTTAAAAATTGGGTACTGTCAGTAGGTTGT